AGGAGGAGAGAAAAAGACGAAGGGAGGACGAGGAGGAGGAGGAGAGAAGAAAAAGGAAGGAGGAGGAGAGAAGAAAACGAAGAGGAGGAGGAGGAGGAGGAGGAGGAGGAGGACAAGAGAAGAAGACGAGAGGAGGAGGAGGGGAAGGGGGAGAAGAAGAAGAGGAGGAAAGGAGGAGGAGAGGAGGAAGAAGAAGATGAAAGGAGGTGGAAGCGGAGGAGAGGAAGAAGAAGAAGAAGAAGAGGAAGCAAGGAAGTGGAGGCGGATACCACAGCGGGACCGTATCGACCACGACGGGGCAGCTCTTCGACGAACTGCGCGTTAGAATTCGAAGGCCGCCCGTCGAAAAAATTTGCGTCGGGGGGCGGGAAGGCTCCCACGGGCCAAACCAATTCGAAAATGGCCTCCCCCCCCCCGCGCGCAAAAATGCGCTGGGCCCGCCCGGCGCCAAACCGGGGGACCCAACCGGCCGGGCCGCCTGGGACCCCTGCCGAACGAAGGCTGGGCTGCCGGGCGGCCCGGAGTTTAACACAGCTTAAAAGAGGTAACCCGTGCCCCCTTTAAAAAGTAGTAGTTGACGTTGGGAAAATCAGGAGTCAGGCCCAACTCGCGAAAAGCAGTCAAAAAGAGTCACAGATTTGTCAGGACTCAACCCCGATCGCAAATCTGATGCATGTCCAAAGGCTGTCTCCATTGTTCCAGAAGTTTCCAAGGCCCAATGGGTTCAAGCACACAGTGGCCGACAGCAAATCTGGGCCATCCAGATCGGGAAATCTCCGACACACGAGGAGGAGGCAAACTGAGGCAGGCCAAGGCTGGTCAACACTACAAAAGAGCTGAGCTGCCTGCTCCAGTCGGCTCATTCATTCTGCCTCGTGCTGCTGGATGCTGAACCGCTGCGCCACATAGCGCTGGAGGAGGCAGGAGGAGCTGGGGCAACAGAGGAGAGAGTGCCACAGAAGAGAGAGAGAGAGAGAGAGAGAGAGAGAGAGAGAGAGAGAGAGAGAGAGAGAGAGAGAGAGAGAGAGAGAGAGAGAGTAGAAGTAGTTAGTTTGGGGTGCCCAGCGCCATAAGCTTGAAGAGTAGAGAGAGAGTGAGGTTGAGGAGGAAGAGAGGTAGGTGAGAGGCTTACTGGCCTACCTGGTCTGCTGGCGACGGTGAGACCATGGGCCATGGCAAGCTTAATGAGACTGGCAGTTCTGGCTTGAGTGCCAACCTCCATAACACTTGCGTCTTGGAACTTTCTTTTCTTTTCTTTTCTTGTTTTACAAAGCAAACTCTGTGGTACTTCCCACTAAGACAATGAAGGAAACTTCCTGACCCATGTCTGTAAGATTATCATTGCTGTCCTTCAAGGCATCAATTAAAAACTTAAAATTGGAAATGATTCAAATGAATCAAATGATAGTATGATACCAAGAAGATTAGCAAGGTCCCTGCGCAGGGACGACACACATGAATCGAGAAATGATCAAAATTAAGGGAAAAAAACAAAAGAAAAGCTTTAAAAAACTTAGAAAAGTAAGAACAAAAGATCTAAGACAAATTCTCCAAGTACCGACTGGGCACAGGACAGCTGGGGTACATAGAAGGAGTTAGACCAAAACTAGTATGGATTCTCACTGACGTATCCATGGAAGCGGCCTTCGGGCTGGCTCCGACACTAGAGCCTAGTATTAGCCTGATCTCCTGCTGAGACGCAGGGTATCGAGGTAGATGTGTACTTACGGTCAGGGCTCAAGGTTTCGCCAACTCAGATTCGTGACTGCACCCCTCAAGGGCTCAGCCAACTGGACTACCGTCTTCACCCTAAAATAACGCCCGGGCGTAATGTGCAAATATAACGCCCGCCGGGCGTTATATTCGTTATAACGCCCGGGCGTTGTATTCAGTAAATTTGTGGTAACTTCCGTGAGGCCCCAAAATTCCGAAAAAAAATAAATAAATAAATTTTGAAAAAAAAAATGTTGTCCAGGATTGGAATTTGTCAATTTGACCAACTTTTGGCTGAGGGTCACTTCAGAATTCCTTATAAACTCGGACATAAAAAATAAAAACGAAAACTAAAGCCAAAATATTATTTAAATATACCCCTTGGAAGTCAAAATCCCATTCAACCCTCTTCAAAACCCATGTATACCCCCTTCCCCGCCCTTTAAACCATACTTGCAAGAAGACGGACCAGACGAGCGTCCGGTCCGGTCCGCTTGTCCGCGTCCGGCACCCTCCCCCCGGACCAGATGGAGCCGGACCGGACCGGACCGGACGGGGTGCGGTCCGGGACTCTTCCGTCCGGTACGGTTTGGTCCGGGACTGGAGCGGTGCCTTCCCCGTACCGTCTGGGTTGG